AAAAGGCGTTAGTTATAATGGTTTCAGTACTAAACTTTTGCACCATAGAAACACTTTCAAAAACAAGATTTTGCTCATGATCATTTTGAGATAACTTGTAATAATGGATACATTAAGCGATAGCACAGCGGGTAGGGCCTTTGCCTTGCATGCGGCCAACATGGCCAACCCGAGTTTGATTCCTCCGCCCCTCTCGGAGAGCCCGGCAAGCTACCGAGAGTATTCGATATGCCAGACACAGTAACAACAAAGTCTCCAATGGAGACGTTACTGGGCCCGCTCGAGCAAATCGATGATCAACGGGAGGGCCTTTACCTTTACCTTTCAGAATCAAAGGCACATTATTCGATTTGTGCTACAAAAATCAAGAAAAAAACTGGGTTAATATTCTTTAGAAGTCCATGGAATAAAGTCCCAAGAGGATAGATATAATGAGTATCTATAAAAAAAATGATTGCTGGAGAGAAAATATTGTTACTGAAAGTCAAAGATTCAGTAAGCTCAGGTAAATTTACTGCCAAAGCTTGCTCTGGGCTCAGCAGTATATTTTATTTCTTTAGAACACTGGTTGCAAAGATGTTCCAATTCTTAAAAACAAAAACCACCAAAACCATTAACTCAAATGCTTTGAAGAATGGCAAATGAATTAAATTCAGCACTACAGTTCGAGTACTAGACGTGTGGTAGTTACGGTTTGGAAAACAGGAGTCAGGTACTGCTTGCATAAGTTTTCAATGAAGACATCCTGAGTTAATAAAAACCATTTTGTGGTCGCATCTATACTAGCCAAATAACTGTACAGCAGTGGTCATCTCAGACACAAGTCTGATCACTGTTGTCACAAACTTGGTCATTCAAGAGAAAAGTTTGGAGAACTAGTTGAAAAGACCAAAGGCCTGAGGCCTGGGGTGGGAAGCCCATGGGCAGGGCTAAGAACTAATGCATAGATGGTAAAGATCATAAAGAACCTTTCCCAGTCTCGCATGACTCTGATGTGTCATCAAGGTTACTGCTTTGAATTCCCAGCTTTAGGTTTTGGACCCAATTCCAAGGTCATTATGTGATTCGGGATTTCATACTTTGCTTCAAATCTCCATGGCATAAGCGCAAGTTGCTATTTTTTAATCCAGGGGTTCAAAAATCTGAGGAGTGTGAAAGGATTTGGGAAAGAAGCCAGCGGGGTAATCTAGACAATCCCTCACAGAGAGAGAAGTGAAGTACGGGAGGTTCCCACGTGTGACCTTAGGTCAAAGAGGCTGTAATTGCTGAGTCAGAGTCCAGGCCTGCTTTTGATTCATCATCCTTTCAAATCACGAATGTTCATGACACACTTGCTGCTCAGGAGTATAGGAAACTCGCTTTCAAATCAAGAGGGTGCTATAGCAGAGTGCTAGCAAGAGACAGAATGCTTTATAACGCGAAGCTATTCCATAAATCAAAGGACGCATTCAAAGTCATCACTGCAGGGCGCCTTTTTCTTTCCACTTCTCTGGTAGGACAGGTGTCATCCCACTACCAATGAAAGACACAGTGGGCCAGAGTTTATAGTTTCATAGGATGATTACCTGCAGACTAGATACATGATTCATACACAGTGGGTTTCGTGTACTTTATGTAGTCACAAAATCACAATGATGAAATCTTTAATAAAAGATGAACAATTTTTAAATTGTGCATCTACAGATTTTCCATCAAAATTTTAAATAAAGTTTTTTACAGGGGGGGGGGGCTGGATATGGACATTCCTCAAAAAGCAAGAAATTGAGCTCCCATTTGAACCAGCATTACCACTTCTAGGAAATACAACCTAGGGGCCCAAAAACACGCAGCAGAAACACCATCTGCACTTCTATGTTCAGAGCGGCACATTCACAATATCCAGAATTTGGAAACAAACTGAGTGCCTGAGGACAGATGGATGGATAAAGCAACCACGGTACATTTATGCAGAGACAGAGAGAGAGAAAGAAGTGCCTGCCAGAGAGGCAGTAGGGAGTGGGGGGAGGGGTGGGCAGGAGGGAAACTGGGGATATTGGTGGTGGGAAAGATACACCCATAAAGGGACAGGTGTTGGAATATAGTATAACCGAAACCCAGTCCTGAACAACCTTGTAACTGTGTATCTGTTATTCAATTAGAAAAAATATAAGTGTGTCTGTCGGGGTGGGGTGGGGTAGGGGGATTAAAGTGCTTGCCATGTATGTAACTGACCCACCCCCTGTACCACACACGGTCCCTTAAGCATGCCATAAGTGATCCCTGAGCAGAGATTCATGAATAAGCCCTGAGCACAGCTGGGAGTGGTTCAAACTACCTGTCCCATTATTTCCAGAAACAACAGCTATGTGGTGCATTTTTGCCATGGCATTTTCCTTTATTGTACTCCTGTGTTCCTGAGTCTAAGAATATCTGCTAGGTGTATTTCACAGCAACTGACCTGGTATTTGAGACTGCTGTTCTGCAGTTAATTCTGGGAGGAAAGATTCAGGCAGGGTACACACCTAAGAATACTTGTAGCAATTTACAGCATCCCTTAAATTTGTAGCATCACAGTTAACATGTCTGTAATTTTGAATATATATCCCTTATTCAATAGCTTGTCTAAAACTGGGTGAATTTCTTCTGCTTCACTTTTCTCTACCAGAACTTTCGCCCACACACTGCATGCTAAGGCATAAACTCACTGTTGACCCAGTTCATGCTTAAACTGAGCTGCTATAGTTCATACTTGAAATATTATTTGTCTTAAACAACTCAGAATGCTACAGAAATTGTTATGTTTATGAAATACTTTCTCTTTGTTCCTAAAATTTTCAGAGCCCACTGCGTGGTGCTCAGGGCTTACTCTTACTCAGGGATCAATTCTGGAAGGTTCAGGGGACCTTATATGGTGCTGGGGATTCAACCAGCTTGGCTGCATGCAAGCTAAGCTTACCCACTATACCATAGCTCTGGCCCCTAATATTGGTTTAAAAAATATATGCCGTTTTTCCCCCTTTTTACAATAAACATTATAATTCTTTTTCTCAGAGAAGTGCAGGTTCAATGCTCAATAACAAGACTTCGAGTAACATGACTCAGAAAACCTATTTGTAAAGACTCTTTCCTGAATTCCAAGTCGGCTGCAATAAGTTATCATTTTCATAAATTATTTTATTTTCTAATTAGCAACACCTATACCAAAGAGTGTTCACTGAAAAATAAAATGGACTTTATTATTTTGCCTTTAGGGTTACACCCGGCAACGCACCAGGGTCACTCCTGGCTCACGCACTCAGGAATTACTCCTGGTGATGCTTGGGGGACATATGGAATGCTGAGAATCGAACCCGGGTTGGCTGCGTGCAAGGCAAACACCCTTATGCTATCGCTCCAGCCCCTAAAATGGGCTTTTTAAACACACTATCTAGCACGCTGAGTTTATTATGGTACGGTGGGGATTTGCATGGAATCCCATCGCAGAACTGCAGACAGCAGCTCCAATAAACAGAATCAATGAAAGTGACGCCCCAAGCTCCTGCAGACTGCACTTGCCCACCTTTGCTTCCCCGAGACCTGCACACAACTGCCCCCTCCACTTCTTGGTTGAGAATTTAAAAGGACAGACACAGCCTTTGGAACACGGGCTCTTGGCTCAGGAACGTAATTAGCAAACGAGAGAGAAATCTACACGGGCTGACATAGGAAACAGTGCCCTTCCCTTCAACTCCCAGTTGGCCTAAAGGAAGCTCCCAGAAGCCCAGAGAAGGGCTGGGACAGTAAATGAGAAGTAACATAACAGGCAAGGAAAGTCCACTCCTCTGAGACAGTAAGTGGTCGGGGCAGGAGGGGTGGTTTTGCGCTTAAAAACACACAAGAGTGAGCTAGAGCAAAACCAGAAACACACAGGAGTGAGCTGGAAGAAATCACAATGACTTCTGAAGATCTGCCCGCGTGTTCTGGCCGGCTTCGTCAGAGGCCAGGTTCCATCGATTAACCCGCAGGGGCTTGGGGAACCGTAATCCCGCGGACCCTTCAACCGGGCATCCGCCTAGGGACCCCCGACCCGGCTCTCCGCTGCCCGCCGGGTCTCCCAGCAGCGGCTGGCTGGCTCATGCAGCGCGGACCCAGGGGCCTCCCACTGCGGCCTCGGGAGCGAGCGCCGCATCTTCGCTGGATGGGTGCGATCCGCTCTGTTCGGCCAAAACACAGCACGAAGGGTAAACGGGGCCACCGAGGCACCGGCGGGGGCTAACGCTGGCCCGCCGGGGCGGGGGGAGAGGCACGAGGTGCCGCCAAGTGGAGGGCGCGGACAGCAGCGGCGGGCGGCGGGGGTGGTCCCGGGCCCCGCGGGCGCGGCGTCGCGGCGGCTGCCGGGCCGGTCCCGTCCCGCGCGGTGCCGATGGCGCGAGGCCCGCGGGGCCGGCCCGGTGGGGGGCGGCGTCCCCGCGCCCCCCCCGGCGTCCGCTTCCTGGCCCCCGCGTCCTTGGCACCGGCTCCCGGCCCCCCCGCGGCAGGGACGGTGCCAGGCGGGCCGAGGCGATGCACCGGAGACGCAGCCCGCACCGCGGCTGCTGCCCCGGGCCGGGCGTGGCGGAGCTGGAGCCGGGCCCCGGGCGCCGCGGCCGCGCGGGCTGCGCCAAGGGCGCTCCCGGCCACCGCCGGCCGCCGCCGCCGCCGCCGCCTCCGGCCGGGCCCCCCGCGGCCGCCGCCGCCGCCGCCCCGCCCGGCCCCGCCGCGCCCCGGCCGCCGTCCCCGCGCCGCACGGAGCCCGGCGCGCGCCACGGCGACGGCCGGAAGAAGATGGCGGCGGCCGTGGCGGCGGCGGCGGCGGCGGCGGCGGCGTCCGCGGGCCCGCACGCGCCGATGACGCCAACGGTGCGCGCCGGCCGGCGGGCGGCGGATGGCGGCGGCGGCGGCGGCGGCGGCCCGGGCTCCGGCGAGGGGCGGGGCGAGGCGGGGAGGGGGCCGGCCGGAGGCGGAGGCCGCGCCGGAGGCTGGCGGGAGGCGGCGGCGGCGGCGGCGGCGGCGGCGACAGTTTGCGGTGCGCGGAACATGGCGGGCGTGGGCGCCGGGGCCGCCTCGGGGGAAGGCGGCGGCGCGGACGGCCCCGAGCGCGACGGGCGCGGCGAGGGCGAGCAGCCGGGCGGCGGCCGCGGGCCGGCCAAGGCGCCGCCGCAGCACACCGAGACGCTGGGCTTCTACGAGAGCGACCGGCGGCGGGAGCGGCGCGGCGGCCGCGCAGGTGAGCGGGCGGCGGGCGGGCGGCGGGCGCGCGGGGGCGTTAGGCCGCGGCCGCTGACAGCTCGGCGGCGGCGCTGCCTCGCGAGCCGCCCCGGGAAGGCTCCTGGGCGCGCGAGCCGGGCCATTCGCTCGGCCGGGAGGAGCCGGGACCCTTGCCCCCGAAATAGCCAGGGACCCCTCCCCACCCCGGGCCGGGCCCACGAGTCGCCGCCCACCGCCGCGGCCCGCAGCCAGCGACCCTGCAGTCCAGCGCTCGCCGGAGCCCGCTCGGGATCGCACCGGGAACGGGAGCGCCTCGGGAGCGTAAGCCACCGCATCACACAGTAACAACAACAACAACAACAACAACAACAGTAGCGATCGTGATCACAGAAGGGGCAGTTGGCTGCCCGGGGAAAGATGCGCGGTACTTGGAGAGTTGTGCCGGGAGAGGAGGACTTAGTTCTGGGTTTTCCCGAGGGATTTTGCAAAGTGGCGTGTTTGGGTTTTTTGGGGGGTGGGGGGGTTCACGTTTCTTGCTCACAGTGGGGAGAGAGGAAGATTGAGAGTCGCATGTTGCATCCGACCCGGCGATCACGAGTTTAACTCTTACATAACTTGAGTTGTGAACAGTCACCAAGTCCAGGAAGTTTCTTCCACTGCCCCTTCCCTCCCCCCCACCCCAAATCACCTCTGATGGCCCGTGCCTGCAGGAAAAGGGGTGCCGGTTCCCCGAGCATTGACCGAACTTAGGCAGGGAACATGTAGACTGCTTCCATGCCACGGGGATGGTCAGGTGCTATCCAGGTTCACTTGCGAAGTTTTCACACGGATGAAGAGGGACCCCGTCTCTGAAAGTCAAGCACAGGCTGTGCCCTGTCCAATCCTTTTCAGCTAACTACTTAAAAATTCTCAGCCCTGTTTGATGTAGGTGTCAGTTAACACTTGGTTTGGCCAAGTGTTGACTTTCTGATTGGCAGGATCAGAGTCGAAGTATTACTTCTCCCTTTTGTCCGTTTACTTAGACTTGACTATTAAAAGCATCCTGGTACAGTTAGAGACAAACGTGGCCAGGTTGGATTGTCATTTCTGTCTGCGGCTTCTGAGTTTCAAGAAAGCCTGTAGTTGACAAGCTTCCTTCTGTGGTTTGCCTGCACAGAAAGCCAGGCAGGAGAGCCCAGATGCTTGGGCTCCTGGAGGAAGCGGGTACATCCTTACCTAGCCCTGTGTTGGGGGGCGGGGGGCGGATTCTGGGTGATGGGATTCTGTAGATGCTGTTCAGGCATCCCCACCTGTTTCAGAAGCTCGGATTTCCCGGCCTGGATTGCTTCTCGCGTTCAAAATGGGCTTCGAGCCCATACTTGCAGGAAGCCCACCAGCCTGCGCTGTTAGGGTAACCCTCAGTGCCTCCCCAGTGGCCCCTCTTGGAGAGGAGGACTTGAGTTGGAATGCCAGGAGTATGTTTGGGCTGGAGTGTCCAGGCACTAGTTGTGTGGGGGTGCCAGCTGGCCCCTTGGTTTCTGTCTTGCTCTGTTGGCATCCATCCTCCAGCCTGATACTACCTGGGTGCAGGCTTCCGTCCCAGAGGTGAGGATTCTTCCAACCCTTGATCCCAGCTTCTCCAGCACTGCTCCCTGCAGCATCTTGCAGCCTCTCCTTCCTCGCCTGGCTGTATCTTAGAAAACCCTGTACCCCCTCACTACTCTGGCTGACCGGTAACCGCTTCTGGCGGCCCCCACTGGGTCTGTGCGAGAAGTATTTCTGCTGGCATCCAAGTACGGCACTGGTTACTTGCTACTGTTTTACATTCTGGGGCTGCTTCCGTCACACAGGCCACTTTCCTTTTGAAAGTCGTAATCTGTGAGTCTGGTGGCCTGACCATCAGTTAGTTCCAAAGTCCCCTTTATCATTTCTTGCCAAGAGTGGCGGGCTCTTATAAATAAGGCCTTTATGTGCTCTCCTTACCACCAGGTTAGAAGCTTTCCCCAAACCTCCATTGGAGTAAAAGAAATCAAAGTAGGGGGTTTGGTTCCTGTCTGTGTACATGCATATATTTCGAAAAGGCGAATGAAAGCTGGCTTGTGTTTCTGTAGCTCTCTGTGCCATTGTCCTTGCTTTTCCAACTGTCCTGCCACCTGTGCTCTCTGACTTCTGTGTAGCCTGACAGGAACTGCTGCTGTACCTGGGGCTGGTGTTTAGACTTTGGCACAGCTCTGAGTGGCTGGGGGAACCCCCCCACCCCCGACGCCCATCCTGGTCGTCTCTGCTCTCTCTGGGAATGGTAGTTGTGGGGTCCACGTTGCCTGTGGCCCCTGCTGCAGCCCCCCCCAGAGCAGCACTCCGTCTTTCCCTCCCCTGGACTCTTCAGCATTCCCAACTCCTGCTGTGTTTCTGCACATGCTATCACCCTTGATGCATCTGTACCCATTCTCAGTTGGGGAATAGCTTTTACTTTTTAATTCTAAAAATATTTTTCTTGGTTTGGGGGCCACACCCCCTTGTCCTCAGGGACCACTCCTGGCTGGGTTTGGGAGACTCTCACCCGGGTTGGCCCCTTGCAAGGCCAACACCCTACTTGCTCTACCATCACCCCCACTCTGTCACTGGGAGAATTTCTGCATCGCCCTATACCCTGGTAGGAGTCTAGGCCTAGCAGTCAACTTTGGACGAAGAATTAGGCAACCTGTTCTTTGCTTGGCAGGCCGGATCGCTCTGTAGTCTCTGCTTGTTTGCAGTGCTTGCCTAATCCAGTTGGCTCTTTCATAACTCCACTAGTGAAATATTCAGTGTCTCAGTGGGCTGTATTGGCCCTGGAGACTTAATCGGAAAAGACTGGGTGTCAGATCAGTAACAGAACACCCTCAAGTGGGGCTGAAGCAGTGTTGATAACGCAGGACTAACAGGCAAAGGTGCCGCATGTAAAACAGAATTTCTGCACACAGATGTGGGGAAATGTATCGTTTCTGCTGGGAGCTGCACCTGATTTTCCTCTTCTTTTTAATGACTTCACTTTTTTTCCTATGCTTTTTGGGGTCACACTCGGCAGTGCACAGGGGTTACTCCTGGCTCATGCACTCAGGAATTACTCCTGGCGGTGCTCGGGGGACCATATGGGATGCTGGGAATCGAACCCGGGTTGACCCCGCGTTTGATTCAAGGCAAACACCCTACCCGCTGCACTATCATTCTGACCCCTGACTTCACTTCTTGAACTTGAACTCCAGTTTACTTCTCTGCCGCTACCCTTTAGGCCTCTTGCCCTCCCTCCGTCAGAGAAGGAGCAGCTGTAGAAGAGTGAAGCCTCATTCGGCCAACTGTTCTCTGTAGCAGGTTCCACTAAAACAGTGAGTGTGGGCTGTGGAAGCAGAACAGGGGTCCGGGCACGCGGTGCAACAGCCCAGTGGCATTTCCAGCCCCCGTGTTGCCCACGTGGTCCTGGCCCCGCAGAACCTGAGCATCGCTCTTAGCTGCCCAGCCAGGCTGCCTCCTTGCGGCCAGTTAGGATCAGGACAGAATTTGAGTGGAACACCTGGCCGCCTGAGTGTGCCTGGTATTCGTGCGATTGAGAATTTTGCTTAGTTCTGACAGATACTGTTTTTACTCAAAGATGTTTGCCTTTCACTGGTCCTTGCCTGCCACAGAACCTTTGTCACGGCTGTCCCGGAGGCCCCCAGCTTTCCCCGCGGCTCTGACTCTGAAATTAGACTCGAGAGTCAAGTAATTTCTCATTTACAGAGGGAAATAAAAATAACTGTAAAGCTGGCTGGGAAATTCCTTGGAGTAAACACAATGCTAATGATCCAGACAAAATAAAATTAGTCTCTTTTCTGACAAACTGTTCATGACTTTAAAGATTCTGACTTGCTTTGTTTGATACTTCTAAACCAAACGAGCCTTGGAAAGTCCTTCACTCTGGTCTTCGACCAGTTCAGTGCCTCACTTTTAAAATTGTTTAGCTTCGATCTGTTTCGCTCTACAGAACTCCGCCCACTGTGGGGAATGCTTGTGTGAAGAGTTAACGCTGTTAGGTCAGGGGTAGTTTGTGCCCGTTTTTAGTGGGTTTTTTTTTCTGAAGTGGGCTGGTTTGGGCTACACCCAACTGTGCTTTACTCCTGGCTCTATGCTCAGTGCTCAGAGATCACCCGTCAAGGTTTGTGAGTCAAACCTAGGTCTGCCACATGCAAGTGATATGGTCCTATCCAGTATATGATCGAAAAGTCCTATCCACTGTATAGCCTCTCTGGCCCTACATCATAACTTTGTAATCTGGTGATTGTTGGGGGAATATTTTTCTTTTTATACCCCTTTCATCTAAAACTTTATAAGTATATGAATATTCTGCCTATCCTTGACTTCCCTAAATGAGACTCTGACTGGTCGTATCTTAAAAACTGGAAGAGTCCCTTTGCTGTTGTCATGATTCTTAGTTGGCTTTGTACAATGGTGAATTTGGGAATAAACTTAAATTTAATATCTTAGTGTAGCCATAGTATATTATTTTTATATTACTTAAGACTGGAGCGTTTCATGTTTCATAATATTTTCTTAATAGCCAGTGTTACTCTCCAGTGTTTTTTTAATGGTCTTTACTATTTTAAGAATGATATATTTAGATGTATTCCTGAACACGTAAATATATACGCGATTACTCACTACTTTTAATTAATACTTTTTTTATCCTGGGTTCTTATTGCTCAAACAAACTCTCAGAAGATAATTAAGCATATTTCTTTTAGGGATGAGGAAGAAGCAATTCATAACTATACTCTTTCTCAATTTAAGATAGAATCAGAGCATTTCTATGAGAGATGAATATTGATTAAAATACTGTAGAGGAATTGATTTGGGTTTGTGATTGGTGTTTGCTTATCATTTCTCATTACTAATTACTAATTGATTCTTTTAATGATGACGCTCTTATTTATACTAGAATTAGATTTTCAGTTTTAAGAGTGAATTATACTGCTTTTTGGTATAAATGCTTACTGGTATATTGCTTACTGGATAAATGAACTGAAATTGGTTGACATGTATAAGTTTGTATAAAAAATAAACAGCTGGATCATTTTTGGAGAATTTGCTCTTCAGTTGTCTAGGCAAATATGTGGCAAAAAACATGAGAATGATTCTTGCAAAGCAGTAAAATACCAGCAAGACATGGAAAACGTTAAGGTGAACTTGGCAAGCAGATTTCTTAAAGAATGGTACCCCCCGCATCCCCGAGTTGAAGAACAGTAGCTTTATTAAATCCACCCTACAGCACAGAACATGTTAGTTGAGATAAGTCTGTCGAATGCTGAGTATTGTTTCAATAATCAGAAACCTTGAGACAGCCACTTCCTTCCTTACTTTGCACTGTGAGTTGCATTTTATTAGGGGCTGGTGCATCTCCCGCAGACCCTATGTTGGGAGGGCGTCTGCAGAGTGGGCCTGCGGGGAGAAGTGCGCCTCTAGTGGATGGTGGTGGCCACCCCAGCTGCTGGACCGGTGAAGCTTCTGCTCTGAACGTGTGGTTGCTTCTCTGTGTCTACAGGATGAGTTTCTCCCAGCTCTGTCCATCTCTTCCCACTCGGAAGGCGGATTGAGTGTGATTTTATTTTGTTTATTTATTTATTTTTGGTCCTTGCTTTAGCTGTGCTTGTTTGCAGCTCAAAAGGGGTTTATTTTGTCCTTTTCAAACGGCCGATCATGTGCCGGGTCAAGCCCGACTACAGCATAATTAGAATGCTCCTCACCCAGACTTTCACTCTGCATGGCTTTGCTTGAATCCGAGCATCTGTGAGCACCGTGATCGGAACACAGACGTGAACACTGAACCACCACATGTGGCACCCACATATGTATACGTGACTTGGGCCCGAGTGAGCATGCGGAGAGTCTGCCTGCCAGGAGTGGCTGGGGGTGAGCTCTGCACCCCCAGTGCACTTGTGGCACGTCAGCTCTCCGCACCATCCTGAGTCCGGTAAAGAAATACATGTGGGATTCCTTTTTCCTTTTCAGTAAACTATACCATATGCGTATGAGCAAGCCGCCTGACCCAGTGTTCAGAAAACTGATGATCTTTTTCGTTGCTTGTACTTCGAACCTAATAAAAGGAGAGTAAGTCTGCTTTTGCACTTTCAAGTTCATTTTTCACTGCCTGCCCTTTTCCATACTGCAGGCTCAGTCCCGCTCCTGAGGTACATGCCCACTGCCCACAAGGCTAACCTTTCTTCTCTTGCACGCGTACTTTGGAGGAACCACCACCATTTCATTTGGTCAAAGGGCCTCGAGGCCAGCTCAGAACCGGGACGCTAGTTCTACAGACCTTAGGTTTTCTTCGCTCTGTCAATCTTCGTTTATTTGTTCAGAGAACCCGCTCTTGGTTTTCCGAATCCTGGTAGGAAGTTGGGCGTGCTGGAGAGGAGGTGCTGGCAGGTCAAGCTTGTGAAGTGGGGGGTCTCTGAAAGGGGGCAGGGGTGACTGGTGGGAGTGAGGCGTTGGGCTCTGTCCTCATGTCCTGTACAGAGTCTCATCTCTCTCTTTGACATGGCCCGGTCGGGGGATTTTCTGTGGAGGGTCGGGGGGACAGGCAGCGAAAAACTCCCCAGAGAGGTGTGTGGGGAGACCCTTCTCTCCAGGGGAAGATGGTGAGATGGTGTCTCCTTGCTCGACTCAGTGATCCACATAACCCTGATGAGCCTCGACTGGGAAAGCGTCTTTTAGGAAGATGATGGCCTCACTGGTTCTCTGAGGTGGCCGAGAGAACTGGTAGGAAAAGCCATACCGCTCCCCCAGGCTGACTCTGGGAAGGTTACAGCCCCTCTCGGTGTGTCTCAATATTTTAGATTCTTCACCTAAAATACTCCTCTTACTGAATCACCAGCTGAATGTGGTGCTGAATAACCCATCAGCCTCCTGATAACTGATTGGGAGGCAGAAAAAAAGTCGATTTTCTGTATTCCTGATCACTGCCTTTCTGTTGTCTCCCCGTGTCTCTCCCTCAGCTCAGTCCTGTGTCACTTTTGAGACCCTGAGAACTTGGACTGGATAGGACAGTCCCCAAACATTGACTTTTCTGGTGTATTGGAATGAGCCTTTCAGTTTACACATACTAGCAGTTTCCTCGTCAGTCTTTGCTGGTGGTTTGGTGGAGTTGTTCAGAGTTATACACTTTTTGGGGGGTTTGATTCTCTTGTATTAGTCTGACTTGGGGACCCCACTAGTGTCCCCTGGTAAATATTGTTCTTTTGTTTTGTGTCTTCTTTTCCTGTAGGGCTTTCACTGTTGAGATTCCTCAGTGCTGAGCTAACAAGAGGATACTTCCTGGAACATAATGAGGCCAAATATGCAGAAAGAAGAGAGAGAGTGTACACCTGCATGCGAATACCAAGAGAACTGGAGAAGGTACTGTTTGTTTTTATTGCCATCGTGTTGAATGCTGTCATATTCTGTTACTTGAAAGTAGTGAACAGTGTCAGTTGAGCTGTTAAAAATATGAGAAATAGGGGCTGGAGCAATAGCACAGCGGGGAGGGCATTTGCCTTGCACGCGGCTCGACCCGGGCTCGATCCCCAGCATCCCATATGGTCCCCCGAGCACCGCCAGGAGTGATTCCTGAGTGCAAAGCCAGGAGTAACCACTGAACATCACCGGATGTGACCCAAAAAGCAATATATATCTCAAAATACTGTAATGATAACTAAAAAAAACAGACGGAGTAACATTCCCTTACAGGGAGAGACTATAAAATAATGTATTTTTTTTCCTTATGTCAGCTCTAGTGATTCTTAATTGTGCTGCTTATTTAGCCTACTGTAGTTTTTTTTGTGTCCCACCCAAGTAAATACTGTTGTATTTATTTAAACATTTTTTCTCAGGAATACTTCACTTTTGTACTCTCAGTTCCCTTCAGTTATGTTTTAGTATTTAGCACAACACATTATTTAATTTCAGCCTTTTGGAAAGTTTAAGTTTCTCAGAAACCCTCATGTAGGAAACGCTCAATGAGATTTTTCAAAGAAGAGGCTAGTGTGTTTCACCTTCAGAAGACATCCCACAGTGTAAGCGTGAGCACAGTGAGCCGAGTCATCCCTGAGTTCTCTCCGTCTAACGAGCCCAGATCAAGCTGTGCTTGTGGCTTGTTCCTGGCTCTGCCCGGGGCTCACCTCTAGCAGGGCTCAGGGGACTGTAATAGGTGTCGGGGGTGAAGTTGAGTCTGCTACAGACAAGCCGGCGCCCTCCCTCTGCCCTCTCGCTCCAGGCCTTCCTGTCATGTTTTTATAGTGATCTAAAATTTGCAACATTCCCATCACTTTTACTTTTGTTTGTGTCTGGCCCACACCTGGTGTGCTCTGGGCTTCCTCCTGACTTTCTAGTCAGGATCACTCTTGGTGGGCCCAGGGCAGAGGCGCTGCAGTTCCTGGGACACGTGGACCACCCTGCAGAGCCGGGCACCTCCAGGGCTTTTCTGCGCCCTAATGGCCCCCGACTCCTCCCTCCACCCCCACTTTTGGGTGGTGCTGGGGTTCTCCACACAACCTCATCCTGGGCAAGCCACCAAGCTGCATCCCGGCCCGCTGGGACTTCCTTCAAGCACTCTCGCATGGGTTTGAGAATCAACTTCTTTTCTTCCATTGATAACTACCGTGTCATACCCAGTACAGTGCGGGAGACTCCCCATCTCCAGGCAGTAGTGGGACACCAGCTGAGTGTCCCACCGTCTAGTCAGTTCTCACTCTGACCCAGAAATAGCATCAGGGCTTTACATTGTCTACCCAGAAAGAGCGTCCAGTTCTTCTCTGTAACCCAGAAATAGCCTCGCCTCCAGCCAGCTGACAACTCACTCCAACCTACAAGATTCCCCCTTGCCATGTTCAGATGCCCCTTTTAGGTGGGGGTCGTCACCATGCCTATAGTTTAGCCATCCCATGAGCCTGTCCTTGCCGGAGCCACCCACTGACCTCAGGAGCAGATGCTTTCTCCCTGCAAGTTTGCTCCCAGGCCTAGTCAGGTAGCAGACTTGCACAGGCCAGTGGCAAGTCGCTGCCTCCCGGCCCCTGCAGCCCCTGCCCTCTCCCCCAGGGGTGCTACCAGCCCTCGGGCTCATGTTTTGGGGAGGTTTTCTTCCATGGAATGGTTTGATGAACGCTTTGACCATTGCCTACTGATCTGATTCAAGCCCCTTTGCAGGTTCCACTCTCTGTGGGTCTGTCCCCTGGATTCCAGTCCCCATCTCTTGTTGAGGTCCAAAAGTCACCTGTTTGTATAGGAAACCCAAGACACCGTTGTCTTCGGTTTTGAAATCCCAAGGCTGTTTTAGGAGCAGTGCCAGGGAGCAGAATTCAGAGCAGATCTTTGTGTTTCTGAGTGCCTTGACAGAAAGCACCAAGCTGGCATTGTGTGGACGCTATTCTCAGGACAGGCTACCAACAGCCCTCCACGCTCTGCTCCCTGTTTCCTTCTAGGGAGAATACAGTGGGATTTGCCCGCACCCCACGGCCAAAAGCGGGCGCACCCCGGGCGTTTTGTCAGCTGGGAGGTGTCTTTCAGGAGCCTCTCTGGGCAGAAACCAGCCAAAGCCACATAATTCCATCCTGTCCTCTGTGGAGCGTTCAGAGTGCACTTCCTTCTCATGACCGTGACACTGACACAATGAGCTCTCTCACAGAAACGTAAACGTTTGTCATGAGCATGCCATTGTTTTCTTGGCAGGAGACCCACGGGCCTAGATGAAAAGTTTTCTGACAGGTCCGTGTGTCCGTTGATGGGTTGGTGACCCTAAGATGCATATTTTTAAATATTCTTATTGATCAAGAGTAGAAGTTTGCATGTATTGACGGTGTTAGGGGTTAGGATTGTTCTGTGAAACTCGTTTCATTTGTCTGTTAACATGTAAGGCAGAAAGATTGAATTACCATTGCTCATAACACAGTTACAATTTTTATGGGAAGGACCATGCCCAGTGGTGCTCAGGCCTCACTCCTGGCTCTGTTCAGGAGCAGACCAGGGTGCTCAGGGACCATATGTGTGCCAGGGCTAGAGCTTGGGTTGACCGTGTGCATGGGTTCCGCATGGTACCATGTCTCTGACCCTACGATTCTTTCCTAAACCTGTTTCCAGGGAGAAGGGATTTAGGCTTATAGGCCTATTTCAGATGTACTTACTTAGACTGTCCCTTGGAAGCCTTTTTGTGTAAAGTACGCACAAGGATGTCAGATTTCTCTGTTGCTAGAGCTGTTTCTGAGACTAAGGTACATCTTTGTAAAGAAATGAAGGGTGAGATTTCAAATTTAATTTCAGACCTAAATATCCCGTAGGACATTGTGAACGCAATCTTGTGTTACAGAGACCTGACAGTGGGCTGGGGGCATGACACCTGAGTAGTGCTCCGGGCCTCAAGGGCTCACCCGGGGCCCAGGAGGGGGCCGTGTGCGTTGAGCTCCGGTCCCAGGTCTGGGAAGGGGGTCATGTGCGCTGAGCTCAGGCCCTGGGTCCGGGGAGGGGGCCTTGTGTGCTGAGCTGAGGCTGGCTTTCTGCGTGCTGGCTGGGCGTCCGTTCTAGTCCTGTGCGCTCTCCCCAGCCCCAGGCCGGCTTGTCGTGTGAGTCACGCTTCAACTCAGCTTTCTATTAGAGCTGAGTTGGCTATTAGATTAGTCTGAGTTCGTTTTCGTTGTTCGTGTGTGTGTGTATCTTTATAGTGTCTATTTCAGTGTATAATACATTGCTCTTCTTTCTTGGTTTTGGGGAATGCTGTGATATTTCCACCTAACCTTTACAGGAAGAGGAACTTGATAATTAAAGAGCACGTTGCTTGGAGAGCAGTGAATCCCTTACAACATGAAACGAACGTTTGTACTTTAAAATTAAGAGAAAGGTCAACTCAGTATTGCTCACTGAACCTGTTTACTAATGCATAGTGTTGTCAGCTGATAAACACATTGCACCTGCCATCCAGGAAACAGGAATTGCCTATACACTGCATTTCACCTTTGGACCTGTTATTTGAATGTATGGATGTAAAAATTTGGAATGCTTTATTAACTCTAAGGGATATTTCTCTTCTACCCAAAAATCTCTTTCTCTTTCTTCAGCACCCACCCAGTCCCCCAACTCCTGTGCCCACACCTCTCGTGGAGCCTTGTCATGCACCTGCTTGTACTGTGGATGTGGTTCCCCGGGTGCAGAGGGGTTAAGGGCAGACATCTGAAGCCAGCCTGCCTCGACTTGAATCTTGCTCCACAGCGTATTAGCTATGAGGCGTTGAGCTGGTCATTCTGGGCCTGTGCCTCAGTTTACTCATCCATAGTTAGTGGTGTGGTCAGCCTTCTGTAAGTATTTCTAAATCTTTTACACCCTTTACTCAGCAAGCTGGTTGGAGCATGGTCTGCCCTGGAACAACAAGCAGGACTTTTGGGGCTTGCTTGGTTGGTTTGTTTCTGCAGCTCGACCAGCGGTGCTCAGGGATCACTCCTGGTGGTACTCAGACCATTCGGGATACCAAGGATTGGGCCTAGGTTAAACTTGAACAAGGCATGCACTCTCCCCGCTGTCCCCTTTCGGGTTTCTTGTCCCTGGTTTGCATTTCCACGGCCTCTGCAGCTGGAGCAGCCAGCATTTAGGGTGTGACGGGGCAGCCCTGGCTCTTTGTCCTCTTTGACTCTCTGGTTGGTTTGGGGGTGGAGGGGGCGGGGGGAGGAACAGGGGCAGTCACACCCAGCAGTGCTACTCCTAGCTCTGCAGTCAGGGATCCCTCCTGCTGGGGGCCGGGGGACTATCCGGGTTGCAGGGGATGGAACCCAGGTTGGCTGTCACTGTCTATCCCTCCAGCCCCCAGGAATGCCTTGCTGCTTTGACTCCTCCTGTGTCCTTGCTGCTCCTTTACTTCCTTGTTCGGGAAGGCTTCTGGAAGGCAGTGTCCTGCCTGCCCTGTCAGGTGCAGAGCTGGGGAACCCCTGTAGGGGGCGGGGGCTCTGCTTAGCCTGCGGGGCTGCTGGCTGTGCAGAAAGAGCTGGGGAAGGTGTGTTCTCCCTCTGTGCTTTCAGTGTGTGGTCAGAGAGTAGATCTCCTGCCTCCTGCCGCCTCTCCCACAAGGCCCTCGGGCACACGGGCACGTGGCAGGGGCTGATCCTTGGGCTGATAAGGAGGGGAAGGAGAGACCCCTTTCCTAGAGAGGGCGCACCTGCAGAGTGCTTGCTCTCTGCTCTGCACCAGGGACATCTCACCTTTGGCATCCATTTCTGTTTGAGTCATCAGGCAGGTAGCATTGGCACAGAAGAATTAGGTGCCAGGCAAGGGGCTCCAGCACTTCAGAGAAATTGGCATTAAATTCCTCTGCTCGCCTGCGTCTGTTCAAGCTCCCTTCCTCCCTCTGCCCGTGGGGCATCTCATCCAGACACCTCTCACCC